TACACACTACCCCGTCCGCCGGCACTGCACCGCCACACACTACCCTATCCACCGACACACACTACCCCATCTACCGGCACTGCACCGACACACAGTACCCCATCCACCGTCACACACTACCCTATCCACTGGCACTGCACCGACACACACTACCCCATCCACCGGCACTGCACCGACACACACTACCCCATCCGCCAGCACTGCACCGACACACACTACCCTATCCACCGACACAATCTACCCCATCTACCGGCACTGCACCGACACACACTACCCCATCCGCCAGCACTGCACCGACACACACTACCCTATCCACCGACACAATCTACCACATCTACCGGCACTGCACCGACACACACTACCCCATCTACCGGCACTGCACCGACACACACTACCCCATCTACCGGCACTGCACAGACACACACTACCCTATCCACCGGCACTGCACCGACACACACTACCCCATCTACCGGCACTGCACCGACACACACTACCCCATCTACCGACACTGCACCGCCACACACTACCCCATCCGCCGGCACTGCACCGACACACACTACCCCATCCGCCGGCACTGCACCGACACACACTACCCCATCCACCGGCACTGAACCAACATGCACTATCCCATCCACCGGCACTGCACCAACACACACTACCCCATCCGCCGGCACACACTACCCCATCCACCGGCACTGCACCGACACACACTACCCCATCCACCGGCACTGTACCAACATGCACTACCCCTCTCGCCAGCATTGCTCTGGCATCCTCTTCTTAACTCCCCGTTACTGCACCGATGCGCACTTTGTCTAGTCTGTGGTAAAACTTGACAAGTAAAAGCCTCCTCCTGTCTTCTGTCGGCATGTTTCACACCGAAAGGCAGGCGTGCGTCTTTTTAACTGAACGCTGATAATTACTACTTTGCCGTAGCGGGAGGACGGGTAATTGACGGGTGAAAGGTGTTGTATGAATGCTTGTTATATTTAATCAGTCTGGAGATAATTGATCCTTTCTGACTGACAAACACAGAGCGGAATATCGCTGCAACCGCCCAGACAGATTGCAGAGCGCTCGGGAGAGACGGCTTCCGCGACGTGACGACTGACACTAAACAGTTTCATTTCTCCTTCCTTCCTTTATCATTCCCATAATTGCAATGCTGCTCTTTTAAGCCTTCAGGACCGCCAAACGGGTCAAGTGAGCCGCACGGACCAGCGCACAAGTTAATGCCGTAGTGACCCGTTGTGTAAACTTCGAGACAAATACTTTTTTCTCTGGCAAGGTCCGCGCAGTAAAAGGATTAAATGGTCTATTGTTATTCCAATGTTCCAGACAAAGCAATTTTCAGCACATAAAGGTTACCACAGAGTTTTCCGAAAGTGTGCTCTGTGTACCCCCGGAGGTGATTGTCCTCACTGGGGGTCATTGTCCTCATACTGGGTGGCATGCCAAGGAACGTGGCGTCTACGATGATGATGGGATGGAGTCCATAAATGAGAACGTTTCTGCTCCATGATTTAAAGGACTCCTCCGCTTCTTCTAGCCCCCCTTTTGCCGTCATTAGAATGCCTAGATTGTGACAATTTTATAAACGTTATCAATTCTCTTTAACCGCTTCAGATCCAGAACCCCCCAGCCCTTTCCTCTCGTAGGTCTCAGAGCTTTCCTTTATGTTTTCAGTTGAGTCTATTCCATACCTTTTCACAAAAATTTGCGATTCTCTTTAACCATGGCAGATCCAGAGCCCCCCCACCCCTTTCCTCTTGTAGGTCTCAGAGCTTTATTTTATGTTTGAATTGGGTTGGTTCCGTACCTTCCGAAAGTCTTTACAGCTATATATGCTGGAAACTGGAGAAAATGGTTGGGGGCAAACTTTAGTTATTTTGCCTTGGGCGCTGAAGGACCTTGTCCCGGCACTGAATTTGAGTATAGGGCTTCTAAAAAGTAAGTTCTATTGTTGCTGAGGGTGCTTGGCTTATGTCAAGGGCAGAGTTGTGTACTTGTCAGGTTGGTGATGGTAGGAGCCCAGACGCTGGGGACTTGCCAGTACGATTGGTACCTCTACTCAAGTAGACTTGGATAACACACAATCTACTGCATAGTGGTAGCCAGTACAGGGGCAGTACAAGAGCACGGTAACAAAATCACAATCCGGAATCGTAGTCATTGAACGTAGCAGAGGTCGGGGCAGGCAGCAAAGTATCAGGGTCAAGGAACAGGCCAGGGGTCGGTAATAGGAGTCAGAAACAGGTATAACGCCAGGCACTCTAAGAACAAGCTTAAAGGAGAACTATGAGGTGGGTGCTTTTCACTCACCTCATAGTTCTAGCCGATCCTGTGGCAATGAGACTGTCACAGGTCGATCGGGACGTGAGCGAACACATGCCGGCGTTCGCTCGCCTCTCGGAGGAAAGTTCAAACCTAACCCTAGAAAGTTATTATTTTACAGAAAGAGTAGCTGGTACTCGGAACAGACTCCAAAGGTCTAGTGAGTCAGTCAACCATAAGTGGATTTAAACATGCTTGGGACTAACATAGATACAGTGGTACCTCGGTTCACAAACTTAAAGGAGAACTATGGGGTCAGGGCTTTTCCCCATAGTTCTCCTTAGGGTAACAGGAGGACACAAACTAGTGTCCTCCCGTCACCCTAAGCTCAGTATATGGGGAGCTACAGCTCGCGGTATACTGAGACGCCGCAGCCGGAGCGGATCCCGACATGGACGTCGGGATCCGCCCAGCTGCGTGAGTGACAGCTGGCTCTGCCTATCTAGAGGCAGAGCCAGCTGTACCCGCCCCCTCCCCCGTCCAGTCAGCGCTGGCGGATCGGAGCGGGGAGAGGGGAATCCAGCCCCTCCCCCTGTCACGGCAGAGAGCCGTGACAGGATCAAGAGGTGAGCGAACCCGGTATGTGTTCGCTCACCGATCTACTGAGCCGACCTGTGACAGTCTCATTGTCACAGGTCGGCTAGAACTATGAGGTGAGTGGAAATCACTCATCTTATAGTTCTCCTTTAACAATAACCAAGCACAGAATGACTCACCCTGCTTGCTTATATACCTGTTGGCAATGAGATGATGTCATTTCCAGGGGCAGAACACTTGCTTGGAGGGGCGTTCGCTGTCCCTTTAAGAGGCGGTCCAGTGCTCCTGCCTCTTGCCTCTTCCTGTACAGCTCTGAACGATGGAACAAGCGGACACCACACACAGCAGCCGTTGGGCTCTGCACTGCACAAGGAGACCACCCGACGGCTCGAGACCCAGCGGGAGGTAACAGGTAAGTCCTCACAGCACTGCTGAATCAAGCAAAGAGCCTTCAAATGTTGCAGCAGCTGCTCTTTCTGATTGGTAGAAGATTTCCGGGTGTCACGTGTGTGGAGATTCACACGTTCTTGTTCAATGTGATAAACACAACAAAGAATGCAAAACATACAATCAAATATGCATTGCCTTGTCCATATCAATGTAACTGTTTTGTTTATTCATCAACAGCTCTGCATCGTGGAGTGCGAAGGAAAAATCTACTCCAGTTCCATGTGGGGTGTATGCAAAACCGTCCTCATAAAGTCCTCGATACAGCTCAGCATGGACAGTTTCGAGGAGAACTTCAAACCATTCAGCGACAACCAATTCTCCGCCAACTTCAAGCGTCTGAACGACCTGACCAAAGTGGTCGACTTGAGTAAGATCAAGGACGAGAAGAGATTGTCCAAAATTAGCGACCTGATCCGCGAGCAAGAAGAAGACGCCAGCATCGACGGAGGGGAAACCGCGCTCGGCATGACCACCGGGCCCGACGAATTCCAAGACTTGCCAAATCCGCCGAACGCCGTGTCTAAACGCTTCGGGGGTTTCGTCAAGGGAAAGTACAGCTATAGGAAATTCATGGGCCCCTCGAAAGACCTTCAGAAGCGCTACGGCGGCTTCATCGGCGTGCGAAAATCGGCCAGGAAGTGGAACAACCAGAAAAGGTTTAGCGAGTTCCTGCGGCAGTACCTGGGGATGACCACGCGCTCGGCCGAATATGACAGTTTTACCAACGACGTGAACGAACTGGACGAGCAAAATGAGATCTGAGACTTGTTGTCCGTTGACGAGCATAGTTGATTTTAGAACTACGAAGGCAGAAAGTCAACCGCCACCTTAAGAGTATCATTTAAGAAGCCCTCGCCAGTGCCGTTGGTGTTCCGGAACCACGCCTGGTGGATGTACGCCGGACAGCTTGAATCATTATCTTAAAACAGACGACATCTTGGTGAATATTTGGCAAAATCTGAGAAGGAAAGAAGGGTGGTATTAAGAAGTAAAAAAAAAAAATTAAATCTGCTGTTTTAATGTATGATCCAGTAACCTTTTCCTTATATTTTGTAAATATATGACACGTATACTACATGCAATAGGGTTTGACATTGTCATTTGAAACCTGGGTTTGCAATTTCGATTGGCCCATATTAATGAAACATCGACTTGATATTTATAATCAATCTCATCTGGGGGAGCAGGCGTCCATCGACTTTACTTAAAGTATACCTAAAACAACAAAAAAGTTTTTGCTTTAGATACACTTTAGAATTAGACTCCGGCTGACGAGAAGAATCACCCTCATTAGTGTTGTCACCAAGATAGGAAGTGAGGGGAACTTTCCAATGGGGACACAGACAGACATAAAAGCCAACAGGGCTCCTAAGCAGGGGGCGTAACTAGAAATCACAGGGCCCCATAGCAAAATGTTGTATGGGGCCCGGTGATTGCTAGTTATGCCACTTGCAGAGCCCACCTGATATACCAAACAGCCCACCTGAGAGTGACCCTGCAGAGCCCACCATAGACTCTCTATGGTGGGCTCTGCAGGGTCTCAGGTGGGCTGCACACCTCTTACCTGTCAGCGCGGTCCGCCTACGTGATCGCAGGGCCGCTCCTCCTCTTCCGTCCCAGGGCCCCGCCTCCTCTTCTATCGACGTGCCCTGTCTCCTCTTCTATCGATGGGCCCAGCCTCCTCTTAAATCACTGGCCCCTCCTGCTCTTAGGTCGCCGGGCCACGCCTCCTTCTTCGCTGCAAACGCCGGGTCCAGCCTCTTCTGCAGCAGTTCCTGGCTGTCACTGACACAGCTCCGCAGCTGCTCTGAGGAGGAACGCGCCGCTGCACACATCACTGACAGCGGCACGTTCCTTTTCACAGCCGCCAGTGACAGCCAGCACCCTGATATGCCATAGCGACCCAGGCGGCCCACACGGCATCAGAGGGATGCCCTGGCCGGGCCCCCCTGTGCCCGGGCCCCATAGCGGCCGCCTGAGTCGCTATGGCTATTGTTACGCCACTGCCTATAATAATTAAACATTGCCTTGATATTTATAATCAATCTCATCTGGGGGAGCAGGCGTCCATCGACTTTACTTAAACTATACCTAAAGCAACAAAAAAAAGTAAAACTCTACAGAGCTTCAATCCCTTCCTCACCAGAAAAAAACGGAACACAAAACCAAAAAAAATGTTTTTTTCAGGAAGAAGGAGGTCCTGATCCCTCTATATAGATCTTTATTATCACTAGAGGGATCTCCAGCAGGAGGAAGGAGGTCCTGATTCCTCTATATAGATCTTTATTATCACTAGAGGGATCCCTAGTAGGATAAAGGAGGTCCTGATCCCTCTATATAGACCTTTATTATCACTAGAGGGGGTCCCCAGTAGGATAAAGGAGGTCCTGATCCCTCTATATAGATCTTTATTATCACTAGAGGGATCTCCAGCAGGAGGAAGGAGGTCCTGATTCCTCTATATAGATCTTTATTATCACTAGAGGGGGTCCCCAGTAGGATAAAGGAGGTCCTGATCCCTCTATATAGAGCTTTATTATCACTAGAGGGATCCCCAGCAGGAGGAAGGAGGTCCTGATTCCTCTATATAGACCTCTAGTTAGACCTCATTTAGAATACTGGGTCTAGTTCTGGAAACCTCACTAAGATAGAGAAATTGATAAGATAGAATGAGTCCAGAGAAGGTCCGAGGGATAAAACATATCAGGAGTGACTGCAGGAACTTAATATGTCCAGTGTGGAGGAAAGAAGGGAAAGGAAGGACAAGACTGGAACCTTTAAATCCATGAAGGGTGTGAATAAGATTCGGGAAGGCAGGATTTACAATATGAAGCTGACATCAAGAACACGAGGACATGACCTCAACCTAGAAGGAGGAAAGATCAGAACAAACCCTAGAAAGTTATTATTTTACAGAAAGAGTAGCTGGTACTCGGAACAGACTCCAAAGGTCTAGTGAGTCAGTCAACCATAAGTGGATTTAAACATGCTTGGGACTAACATAGATACAGTGGTACCTCGGTTCACAAACTTAATCCGTTCTATGATTCTGGTCGCGAACCGAATCAAACTGTGATCAGACCTCGACTAGAGGAAGCCACGGCCACGTGTCAGAGCGGGGAAGATGGCTGCGGCTGTGTTCGTCACCCGATGCGGAGTTTGTGTACCGAGGTACCGCTGTACTCGGACAAAAAGGTTTTTTAAAGGGACAGACTTGTGGGACCACTCGGCCTTTTTCTATGTTTCAGACGCCATGTAGGAATGATATCCTAAAATGGAAATAACAGACCTAACACACCACCAAGTGACAGGTCAATGGGCAGAGCTGTGAAATAGACATTCTGTTGACAAACAAGCTATATGACAAACTCATAACTTCATTACCGTGACAAAGATATACATTTACAAAGTGATATACAATATGTTCTTTGGAGTCTGGTTGGTCGTTACAAGTCTGAGGGCCCGTTCACACTAGGTGCACTGTGTCATAACGTGCACTCGGCACAACACTATAGTATGACCGGGCCCTTACTGGCTTCCGCACATCTAGTACTCCAACCAGGGCAGCCATCAGGAATTGTGGGGCCCCTTACACAGCTTTAGGCCTGCCCCCCGCCCCCAGCGTCGGTCGTTGTCTCTCTCTCCCCCCTGCTCTCTCAGCATCGATGGTGTCTCTCAGGCTCACTTTTCCCCCCCTCCTCTCAGTATCAGTCAGTGTCTCTCACTCTCCCCCCCTCTCAGTATTGATGGTGTCTCTCAGGCTCACTCCCTCCTCCTTTCAGCGTCAGTCAGTGTTTCCCCCTTCCCCCCCACCCGCGTAGGACCATCGGTCGGACGGTAGGGCTGCAACAACTAATCGACATAATCGATTATAATCGATTATTGAAAAAGTTGTCAACTTTTTCAATAATCGATTAATCGGCTTCTGATCAGTTGGCCCTGTTCACGGCTCCACACACGCTGTGCGCTTACAGTGTACAATGTATTGCTGGGATTTGTATTCCTATGTATAATATACAGCACAATGTACCATCAGCTATAGAGGACTACAAAACCCAGCAACAGTACATTATACAGTGCAATGCAGAATACCGCCAGCTATAATGTACTATTGCTGGGATTTGTAGTCCTCTATAGCCGGTGCCATTCTGCATTCATTGCTGTATAATTTTACACTTTCCTTTTCACTATATTGCACACCACTATTTTTTTTTTCTTTCCTTTTTTATTTACTTCTACCGCTCCAATCTTGCTCCTGTGATGGAGTGCAATCTCAATACAAACTAGTAGTCCATCACTGGAGCCATTTTTAAAAATGTATTTGATTGTTTATCCGATTAACCGATTAATCGAACTTAATAATCGGCTAACTAATCGATTTTGAAAATAATCGTTAGCTGCAGCTCTATCGGACGGTGTCTCATTTTACTAAGGAAAGGAAGCAGGAGGCAGCAGCTGTGCTCCACTCCAGCCTTGGTCTTCGGTGCTTCTGCCCAGGAATAAAAACTCCGCCCCTGAACGTAACCAGGAAGGTACCAATAGCACAGGGGGGGCCCGGAACCTAACTAATTCATCTGTCCATAATAATTTATGACAAAAATGCTTGCTTGGAGCCTGGGCCCCCCTAGCCGCCTGGGCCCCTTACACCAGTACTGGCCGTACCCCCCCCCCCCCCCCCCCCTGCCCACCCC